AGAGTCCAGAGAAGTTTGTCTGGGATATCTACCAGAGGGGTGACAGCTCCCTGTCACTTAGGCCAGGTCTACACTACCGCGCTAGTTCGGCGGCTGGGGATCGAACTTCCTGGTTCGATTTATCGCGTCTGGTCTGGACGCGATAAATCGAACCAGGAAGTGCTCGCCGTCGACTGCGGTACTCCAGCTCAACGAGAGGAGTACCGCGGAGTCGACGGGGAGCCTGCCTGCCGCGTGTGGACCGCGTCTGAACCGCGGTAAGTTCGAAGTAAGGTATGTCGAATTCAGCTACGTTATTCACGTAGCTGAATTTGCGTACCTTACTTCGACTTGGGGGGTAAGTGTAGACCAAGCCTCAGTTTAGCACCAGCAAAACTCTCACTCGCTGAGGCAAGGGGGTTACACAGTGACTTCATGTTTTGGGCACCGCAAGAAAGCATCACAGGGGGTATTTTCTTTAAAAGGACGAGATGGAGTCTCTCCCTTTCTGTGTGTGTGAATTATGCCCACCAAATTTGCACTTGCAGTTTTCAACCTGCAAAATGAAATACAAATCAGAGCACTTGCCTCGCTACTTGGCTGATTTGCATCTGCAATTGAACTGCAATATGAAAATGTGCATGCCAGATTTGCTGGTGCAAATTGTGCCCAGGAAATCTGCAAAATATAATCTTGTCAGGATAAAAAGAAAATTATGCTCCAAAAGAGTTCTAAAGACAAAAAAAAAAAGGGGGTAGTGTGGAATAGTGTAGCTGAAGTCAACATATCTTAGGTCAACTTATCTCACATCCTCACGGCGCGGGGTCGACTGCTGCCGCTCCCCCGTCGACTCCACTTCCACCTCTCGCGACGGTGGAGTTCAGGAGTCGACGGCAGAATGATCGGGGATCGATTTATCGCATCTACACTAGACACGATAAATCAATCCCTGATAGATCGATCACTACCCGCCGATCCGGCAGGTAGTGTAGACGTACCCTTAGTCAGTGAGGTGTGCGTGTCAAGAGCTGTAGGAGGAAGCCACGCTGTTGGAAGAACTAAGCAGTACAAATCCATATCAGGTGCAAGAAAAGAGGCCCTGAGGTAATGGTGAAGAAAATACTGAGTAGGGGCTGCTGTGGGGAAGTGGCCCAGGGAATTGTACACGTCCTATTTCCAAAAAGTCAGCTACCATAGCTGCTATTATTAGGGTCCCTGGGCTGGAGCCCGGAGTAGAGGGTGGGCCCGGGCTCCCCACTCCTCCCCGATTAATCACTGAGATTGGGAGACAACAGAGACTGTGCGAGGGAGGGTTGCTTCTCCTCACCTCCCTTGCTGGCTTCTGATGAAAATGGCTCAGTAGGCTGTGACCCTTGTCTCTAGAGAGAGAAGGGCTACGTGGAGGGTCACAGTGAGCCTCTGAGGCTAGCGAAATCCGCCAGAAAGCGTGGGACCCACTGAGACAAGAACAAAGCTTTGTCACACAATGAAATGTCAATTAGACACAAAGTAAACTCTTCTTTCCTAAATCCGGCTATTGCACAAAGGAAGCCTGGTAGACACGTGCAAAATTGTTCCCAGATTGCTTAATTCACACAATAAATTGTGAGGTTAGAAAAGACAGCAAAATAGAAATTGAAGTTTTGGGTGGCTAAAGGAAATTCCATTTTAATTTACGGATTCTCTTTATATGCCAATGTGCACCTGAAATAACTTTCCTCTCTTTCAAGCTGTTACCTACATACCTATCGGTGAAAAATGACACTCACTAATAAAAATATAAAGTGCTTGCCCTTCTATAATTTGTTCTGTTGAGTTGATTGCAGGCAATGTGCACAGATGTGTATTCCTGAAGAGAAAATGCTTCTGGTTTTGAAAAGAGTGTATGTAGATACAGTGCATGTATTTAGCACATCTTTTAGGTTTATAATTATATATAAGAGCAATAGATGTCTAAGATCTGATATTTTATTACGAGGCTTTTATCATCAGAAAAACATTTAAAATACCAACATTCAAATAAACATTAATATTAAAATGACTGGACTAGCAAAGCAACCCAAATGAAAAATAAAGGCAAGGGGGCTGATTCTCCTGTCACGTTGGTGAAAATCAGGCACAAGTAAAAATATTCTGGTTTTATACAATGTAAGTGAAAGGAAAATCAGACCCAGTGTAGACACTGTATCAAATATGCATGGTAGTTATTCCTTGCAAGTGCAATAGCTTGTCATTTTGAAATTTTTATTCCACCCAATAAATCTAATAGAATCGTGAGGACAAAGTCCTGTTTTTGTATTGATTACACCAGTCATTCACTTCTAGAAAAGGTGAGTCAACATTCTGTTCTCAGTAAAACAAGCTGGAAGTCAAAATTGGTTTGTACATGTGTGATTGAAATTGGCCCAATGTGTAAATTTAAAAAAAATCCATAGTCACACAAACCGTACTCAAAAAACTACGACACAGGAAAAAGGATTTTTTCCTATATGATGTTAATAAAAATAACGATCTCAGGATTGGGCATTACCTAGCAGTTTATAACCACCTGGATTAACTGCAGCCCTCAGCTTCTCTAGTCAGTCTCCAAATACCAGAAAATGCTCTCCCTGTCAGACATTACATTGGACCTAGTTCTATCCTGACCCACGCCCTGTGCAGTCCTATTCACTTCAGCCTTATTCAATTCCAGTGGAGATACAGTATGTGATCCAGGGAAGAATTTGATCCATAACATTAAGACGTGACCAGTATTGAAATGGCTGGCCCATCTGATCGCTTGCACGCTCCATAAAATTCCCAGTACTGCCTGTGGTTATATCTGGTACCCACCATCACCATCATACCAGTCAGGTTCCCTTCGTTTAACCCTTTGACCGCACTCCTGTTCCTGTTATTTTATTAGTTGTCCCCCAGAATCATTTGGTTTCCAGGCCCAGTGGATCTTCCCCTTAGGCTGGGGGGAAGTCCTTTAGCAGTGGGCAGGCTCCACCCGCCCACTTCCTGGATCCCAATAGGATCACCATCTTGACATCTGACACTTCAGAAAGGACTGACACTGAAAGTAACATCTGGGGGAGGCTAATATTTTGTCATCTTCTTAATAACATCCTTTCCAGCCGTACTTCCTTCAGCAGCAGTACCTCATTAGGTTAAGTTGTCTAGCCAATGGAAATCACGATCACTCAGGTTTTTATTACAGCAGCTTGTTCACCAGGTTAGCTAGCCAAATAACCAATCTCCCCATGCGTACTTTCAAATGCAGAAACGTTTGAGAAATGCAGTAACCCTCACCCACCGAATAACTGTACTAAGCTCGGCAGATAATAATGACAAATCATAACATTTTGAAAGGCTTTGTGATCGTGGATTTTAATCTTTACCAGCCTGATCAGACTGTCCTATAGCTCATCTCACTACTCTTATAAGTGTGAGGTTGAAGACCTAACTGCAGTTTATGGAAAAGTTGCCTATCTAAGATGCCCATGACAAATTTCTCTTCAAGATGTTCAGTCCTCTTTACTCTTTTCAAAGCACAGGGACCTGCTAGCTCATAGAAACGCCTTCTAAATCATTCTGTTGTTTCTGGATCTATGCTTCCCTGGCAGAAATGTGCCCTCTTGTGAATGTATGTTCCATTTAGGGAGTGGGCATTTCAAATGCACCTAAGGGAGTTAGGTAACCAACTTCCATTGACTTGTAAGTTAGCAACTCAGTTCCCTTATGTCTTTTTGAAAATTCAATCCAAATAGCGATCGGTTTTCTCTGTTAACGGCTTTATGCGGTTCTTCCCCTCCGTTAGGCTCTAATATCTCCCGCACTATGTGAAGATCTCAGAGCTTTTCTGCTGTGCTCGGGCTGCAAATGAATCCAACTCTTGCACACAACAGTCTGTTTATCGGAGTAGATAACAATGAACAGGAGTTCAATGTATTCATTCCATTAAAAAAGAAATATCTGTATGGGCCCAGAAAAACAAAGTTTCAGCCCAGAGCAAATTTTTGCAGCTCTTCTATATTTTCCTAAAAATTAAACTGTTGATTCACATTAAATTCTTAAGTACGGTTTCTGGATGTGGGTGGATACATAAACAAGAGGGATGTTTCCTGCCCTGCAGTCAGTGGGCTCAGTTGTGTCATAAGGCGCTGCTCCATGTTGCAGGTCGTGCAGAGCTGAACCCAGCATTGTGCCAGGAAGGCAAAATTTCCCTCCTGGAGTTCCCCTGCATGCAAGCGAAGTGTGCCTGCTGCTCTGCTCCTTCAGGGGTGCTGCATACTCCCCACAGTATGTCCAACAAGCACTGTTGCCCCAGTGCACAGGAGGGCCGGGGCCATGGCCTCATCACCTCCCCATCCCCTTGGGGAGTCTTGCACCTCAGAAAACACATGGAGAGAAAAATCTCTGCATGCATCAGGAGACTAGTGACAACAGACGTACCCAGCAACTGCACAAAGACACGGGGAGGTAGCTTCTTGCTTCCGCGTGCAGAGGCAGGTGGGGGCCTGTTGGGTGCCCTGGAATCTGACCAGGACAGGCCATAGGATCCATCTTTTTGTAGATCTTCAAACAACCACCCATCACTTCTTTGAAGGCACATTTGGGACACAAAGCCTAACTTCAGCCACTAGACTAAAGCAGCCTCTGTGGAGCGGCTCCCATAGCCTGGGGCTTAGAGTCCCTCACTGGTCTGGGCACTAGGTTCCTGGATTTGGCCAGTGTGATAGCATTTATGGGGTTATGAGGTCATGGACAGGAATCATGGTAAACCAAAGAATAATCCAATTTATAACCAAGGTCAGTATTATCCTGGAAAACAGGGAGAAGCCTGAGAGAGACTCTCCTAAACAGGAGAAGCCCAGAAAAGCCAAAGGGAGTTTGTACACAAATAAGAATGGGGAAAAGGTTATTACCAATACCTGCCAAACTGAAACTGACCTTCTCTGTGATGCATTTAGGTCACTTGTTAAATGCATGGAAAGTATTGATTTTGTTTAACTAAATTATCTCTGTGCATTTGACAGGGACAAATGCTAAACACGGACTGCGTTGTAAGGCTTGTAAGATGAGCATCCACCACAAGTGCATAGACGGTATTGGACAACAGCGTTGCATGGGCAAACTGGTAAGCAAGCTGCTCGGTACAAATTGAACAGAATGCTACACAGCTCGCATTTGCTCTCTAAACTCTGCCCTGTTAGCGGTTACCTCCGGAATGTAGCCGATTGGTGTGTTAGCTAATCTGGAATCAAGTTCCTTTCATTTAGACTGTGGCAATTATGACTTGAGAGCTGAGGAAACACATACAGTTTCTGTACTGTTGTAGGGATGTGGGTATATGGTTACACATGGGTCAAATTAATCTAAATTAGTTATTTTTTAATTGAATATGCTATATAGTACGGATCTCTGCACAGAATTAATAAAACTGTTAAAATTAGGGCTGGTTTAAGCAGTTGAATATCTGTTGATAAATATCCTGTGAATTTCATTTGACTGGTTTCTGCCCTCAAAATTTTGTGAAAACAATAATTTAGCTGCAAAACCCCCCCAAAACCCCAACACTTTACAAAGATAGTAAATATCATGCTTCAGAGCTTAAGCTAAACACTGACTATTAGAGATCAGGATAAGACCTACTAACGGGGGGTGGATTACCCCACATATGCCTATGCACGGATCTTGCCCCTTCCTCTGAAGCATCTTTGACTAGCCACTGTTGGAGACAGGGAATACTGGACTAGCTGGACCCTGGGTCTGATCCAGTCTGGCAGTTACAATGTTCTTATGTTGCTGTGTTTCATGCTTTCTTAGTGAAAACAAGAAGGCCCAGTATAATTCAGCCAATTATGAATTTGCAACTCAATGGACAAATGTTCGCATTTCAGACATTTTGAGTTTTGTTGCAAATATTTCACACACATTAGTTTTGAAGGATAAAGAGGGAAATCAAAGCTTTACACCAGACACAAGTTAGGAACAAATAGGTTGAAGCCCAGCCCTTCTGAAGTCAATCTAAGTTTCGTCATTGATTTGAAAGGGGCTAGGAAATCCACCCATAGTCTTGCAGGACCTGCTCTCTTCATGTGTTTGTACAGTAGTTCCTGTTAGTATGAATGGAAGTTACACATGAGGTAAAACAGAATGTGTTTTAACCAGAATTGTAGTCGCAGCCTGGGTCTTTCTGGTGCAGAAAGCTGAGCTCTTAAGAATAGATGGGTATTAAAGAATTTAATTGCTGGTCTGTTGTAAGCTGAATATTTAGTTCATATTAATTGTTTCAGACTTCAGGAGAGGGTACTGTGTCATTATATACATTGCCAGTTAAAGCTGTATTGGTGGTGGTTTAGTTTTTATACAGGAGCAAAAGAAAAAAGGCCACATTCAGAACTGTCAGAAGCAGGCACAATTCCATTTAAGTCAGGAGTTTTACAGGCCTATGGGCACTCAGAATTTGGCCTGTAGTTGGGAAAGTAAGGCTGTAAATCACTAGCATTTGTTCCCCACAGGCATCACAACTGTCAACTCCATCATTCCTTCTCCGTTTGTGTCTTTATATGGAAGCACAATAGCAGCAGGTTTTACTCCCTGCAACTTTACCCATCTGGATATTGTAGCTATACACATCCTCCCTAAACATTTCTTTACTGGCAATTTGGAAAATGCCACTGTTAAATGAAGTCACCCAGTCATGAGACTTCTACACTTCTTGTTGTGACGCGAGCCTGTATGTACCACAGGTTACAGCAGCCTAATGCAGGTAGCACTGATTAGCTATGAACTATAACTAATCAAAACTATGTACATGGTAACAACCATATTCAGGGTGAAAGTAACATTCAACACTTACCGGTACGGGGGCCGGCTCTGGCCCCCAGAAGGAGCGGGGCCTCGGGCAGAATGGGCGGGGCTTACTTTCACCCCAGCCATATTACAGGCTAGTGAATTCCTGAGCCTTTGGCCTTAGGCTGAGAATGTCTTATCTCAAGATATGGTAAATACTGAGTTAACAAAGTACTTCATTCATTATGAACTGCGCTAAAAAAGCGGCATGGCTCTGGCTGTTATACCATATTTCCCTAGAAAGAACATCTGAGGACTATGTGATTATTTTGTTTGAAATCTTTTGTACATAGGCCCAAATCCTGCTCCTTCGACCTCTAAGTGCATAGGACCCACAGGGAGTGGTCACGCATGGGCAGACTATTCCCTTTGTGCACTGCAGACTGTGCTCTAATAGGCTCTGTGCATGGCAGCACAGAGATTTGACGTTAGGGCAGGGCCGGATGGGGGCATTGCTAATAGATCCATCACTATATACATTCACTGGCCAAATACTCTTGCATAGGAGACAAGTATCAGAGAGGTAGCTGTGTTAGTCTGTATCCACAAAAACAACAAGGAGTCCGGTGGCACCTTAAAGACTAACAGATTTATTTGGGCATAAGCTTTCGTGGGTAAAAAACCCACTTTTTCAGATTAATGGATTGAAAATTCCTCACTGCATAGGACAGGAAAGATTGAGCCACCCTGAGGGCTACTGCAACCAATGGGCTGTAGTACAGGCTGTGGAGCAGTGTTGCATCCTGTAGGTATGATTCCTGGAGAGAACTGCTGAGCAAAGCCCATTTACTCTGGCTTTGTATAAGGAAAGATGATTCACCCTTAAAGCCATATTTATGGGTATGTGTCTCTACCTCCCAAGGCTCCGAAGTGGGTCACCCCAATATGGGATAAAGACCCAAACTGAGAGCCACAAGAAAATCAGCAATTCCCGAAACTTTAAATAGTGTGGCAATAGCTTCCTTAGCATCGAATATTGCAAAACCTCTATTTTATGATCCAGCATTTCTGCTGTAATTAATTTAAACTTATTAACACTAAATTTGTGTAAGGTTGAAGGTAAAATAGAGTTTGAAAATGAAGGCCATCATTCCAGATAATATTAAGAAACAGAAATGAGATGTTTCCAGCAGGCAAAAAAATAAACCCCTATTCTCAGCACCCTGCAGTGAAGGAGGTAAATTGCTGGTCTGTAACAGAGAGTATGTTCCTGCTCTCGAGACTTTATTTAGTGGGAAATCAGTCTAGCAGAACAGCTGAGATTATTTCTGATGCTTCATGATGCTACATCAGTCATATCATGCTACAACACGCCACATGTTTCCTCTCTCTAGCCAAAGGGGTTTCGGCGTTACTACAGTTCCCCACTACTCATTCATGAACAGTTTGGCTGCATCAAAGAAGTGATGCCGATTGGTGAGTTTTAATCTTTCAATCTCTCTTGGGCTGCACTATGCTTTCAGAAGTGGTGTTTGTTCTCAGCAGCCCTTCAACTCCTTTGCCAGTGAGGGGCCAGGTGTTCTTCCACCATCTCAGAGAAGTAGTCCTTCAAAACTGTAACCGAAAGAAATGTGTTTATTTTTATTTTCAATATTACATGATTCAAAGGCACAATACAAATAAGATGCTCACTGTCATCAAACCAATGCCTGTGCTCAAAGTAGGAGGAGCCTGTGCATTGCTGCTAGCCAGGCCTGATTTGGGAAGAAGCACCACAAGAGTTGTATGTTAAAATAACAGTGAACTATGCTCAACACTGATCAGGATCTTGAATGAATTATGCTTCCATTCTCTCTTGTTCACCTTCCTTTCTGTTCTCTTTTTATTGTTACTGATTTAGTTATTATTTCTTCAGATACTTGGGCCAGATTTTGCTCTCTGTTACACCCTATTCTGAAAATGAAAATTTTGAACCAAAAAATATTCAATTTTGAAAAACTTCCTCCGTGTAATTAAGTTGACCATTCAAAACTGGCAATGCAAAAACTGAAAACCAAGAAAATAACTAACATGAAAGAATATGTCTGAGAACAGCCAATGGGCTAATATTTTTGCCTGTAGTTTCCATCAAATATTTTTTTAAATTAAATGGCTGGGTGTAAATTTCCATTTTAAAAAAAAGACCCTTTTAGTATGAGAATTGTTTCTGTTCAAAATATTCTGAGCAGCTCATCTGTAAAAACAAGGTTTGTCTTGCTCTCTGTGACATTAAAGATCCCAGTATCTTTCACCGCCCTGCTATGTAGGTTAGCTGGTTACCACCCTTCACCCCAGAGGAGGCTGCATTTCTGTTATGCTATGTGTTATGTAGAACCTGAATCTGGTCTCAATCACACTGCTGTAAATTTATAGTCTTCGACTGACTTACCTTGATTTACACCAGTGTAAGTGAGAGCGTACATTCAGAGATTCCAAAGCCAGAAGGAACAACTGTGATCAACTAGACTGACCTCCTGTATAACACAAACTGCAGAACTTGCCCCATATAATTCCTCTTTGAACTAAACCATACATTTTAGAAAAACATCCAGTCTTGATTTTAAAATTTCTAATGATAGAAAATCAGGTCCACAGTTCTTGAATGCGCTTTGGGATGAAGAGTGCTAGTCAAATGTAAGGCCCTGATCCTACATTGAGAACTGTGTGGACAGACCTTATTGACTTAACTGGGGCTCAGCTTGGGGACAAGGGTCCTCTCCTGTGGTTCTCAATGTAGGATTGGAGTCCCATATTCATTAACTTGCATCATTTTTCTCTTTACTCGACTGAAACTTTTGCTGTTTTGAGATACGGTAGAAGTGCTCAGTTCTTATAAAACGATAGCTATGTAGGGCTGACGGGACCTCAAGAGGTCATATAGTTCATTCCCCTGCTCTGAAGTGGGACCAAGCGTACCTAGACCATCCTTGACAGGTGTTTGTCCAACCTATTCTCAAAAACCTCCAATGATAGGGATTCCACAACCTCCCATGGTAACCTGTTTCAATGCTTACAGTTGGATAGTTTTTCCTATATCTAACCTACACCTCCCTAGTTGCAGATTAATCCCATTACCTCTTGTCCTACCTTCAGTGGACACGGAGAACAATTGATCACAGACCTCTTAATAACAACCCTTAACATATTTGAAGACTGTTATCAGGTCCCCCCTCTGTTTTATTTTCTCAAAACTAAACATGCCCAATTTTTTAACCTTTCTTCATAGGTCAGGTTTTCTAAACCTTTTATCATTTTTGTTGCTCTCCTCTGAATTCTCTCCAAGTTTTCCACATCTTTCTTAAAGTTTTGTGCCCAGAATTGGACACAGTACTCCAGCTGAGAACTCACCAGTGCTCAGTAGAGTCTCCTACATACAACACTCCTCTTAATACAGCCAAGAATGATATTTGCCTTTTTCTCGTGCATCACGTTGTTGGCTCATATTCCATTTGTGATCCACTATAACCCCGAGATCCTTTATTCCAGTTATTTCCAATTTTGTAGTTGTGCATTTGCTTTTTCCTTCCTAAGTGTAGTACTTCGCATTTGTATTTATTTCATCTTGTTGATTTCAGATCAGTTCTCCAATTTATCAAGGTCCTTTTGATTTATCATTCTGTCCTCCAAAGTACTTGCAATCCCTCCCAGCTTGATGTCATCTGCAAATTTTATAAGCATAGTTGCCACCCCATTGCCCATTAATGAAAATACTAAATAATACCAGACCCAGGACTGACCTCTATGAGATCCCACTAGATACACCCTCTTAGTTTGACAGCGAAGCACTGATAATGACTCCTTCAGCATGGTATTTCAACAAGTTGTGCACCCACCTTATAGTAAATTCATCTAGACTGCATTTCCCCAGTTTGCTTATGAGAATGTCATATGGCACTGGTCTTACTAAAATTAAGTTATATCATGTCTACTGCTTTCCCCTTATCCACTAGGCCAGTAACCCTGTCAGGGAAGGAAATTTGGTTGGTTTTGCATGATTTATTCCTGACAAATTCATGTTAGCTATTACTTATCATCCTATTATCCTCTAGGTACTTACCAACTGATTATTTAATCATTGTTCTAGTACCTTTCCAAGTATTGAAGTTAGGCTGACTGGTCTATAATTCACCAGGTCCTCTTCATTCCCCATTTAAAGTAATTAGCATGTTTTCCCTTCTCCAGTCATCTGGAACCAGTTCATTCTCCATGAGTTTGTGAAGATAATTGGTAATGGTTCCGAGATTGCTTCAGCTAGGTCCTTAAATACCCACAAAGACACAAAGTAGAGCTCAGCTCTTATGAGAAGATCCAGTTCCCTTCGTGAACTGCTAATGACTTTTGTCCTTTTACATATATTTTAAATATCTTCCATTCAAAACAAAGGCCACAATTTGCTGGATGTTGAGATAAGGCCCATCTCTCTCTTGCAAAGGAAGTAAGAGCCAGTCATAGAGTGTGTGGGTGGGAGGGATCAAGATAGCAGAGAAAAGGAGTCTATGAGCAAGATCGATGGCCTAAGAGTATGTCTTATAAATATATATGCAATAGATGATGCAATTGCAGCACACATCGGCATACTCAAGCAGGCTTGCTAAAAATAGCAGGGAAGTTGCATCGGTACAGGCAGTGGCACATATCCCAGATATCCTGATTTTATAGGGCCAGTCCCGATTTTGGCGTCTTTTTCTTATATATGCTCCTATTACCTCCCACCCCCTGTCCCAATTTTTCACATTTGCTGTCTGGTCAACCTAGTGACACAGGCTAGCCACCCAAATACAGTCCCACCTGAGACCCCAGGTACGAATTCGAGCAGCTAGCCCATGCCACCATGCCTACACTGTTACTTATAGCAAGCTGGCTCAATCAAAGCTAATATGGATATGCCTACACGTGCCATCCCAATTGCAGCATAGACTTATCCTAAGTGGGAGAAGGGAGAGGCTGTGGGACAGTGGGAATGGGTGTAGATCATGTAGTTTCTCACAGATGAGGTGATTTTAGTTGCAATGGGAGACAATTGCGGGGGGGAGGTCAGTCAATAGGAAGGGGAGCAAAGAATGAATGGAATGACGGGATGGGCAGTTAAGTCTCTAAGTGAAGGAGACATAATGGTGGGTACTTTCTTTCACGTGTTTATCTCTGTTTTGCCTCTTCTGTTGCAGCCTGTGGCAACAAAGTCGACCCTGTGTATGAAACCCTCCGCTTTGGAACCTCCTTAGCACAGAAGACCAAGAGGGGCAGCTCTGGAAGTGGATCTGATTCACCCAAACGGAACTCTGTAATTCTTGTGTTTTATCTTCCCTTTTCCTTTTGCAGGATCACAGCACATCCATGCACAATAATTGTCAGTTTCCATCAGAAAACCCAAATTTCAGGCTATTAAAAAAATACATTCCAGACTAGAACAGGGCCTATAAACTCTTTTTTGTAAACTCAGTTTTTAAAAATCTTGTAAATAACCTTAAAAAGAAGGAAAAATAGATGTTGAACAGGTGAGCGTTCCTGTTTCACTTTGATCTGAAAATGCTGAAATTCAACAAACCACGTAGGCCAGAATCATTTGGGAGGGAGAGGAGGGGAAGTAAAAACAGAAAATAAACAAAAATGTTTAAATTTGAAAAGTGACTTGCACGGGCACCGCACCGACTTTAAAAGACGCATTGGTATCTTGCAATTAGCTGTGACTAGCCAGCAGTGCATAGTCACACTGTTCTAGGGGCAGGGCTGGTACTGAATTCTGCCTCCACCCACTCTTTGCCCATGTGCACAGGAGAGGGAGTAGCAGCCCAATGGCACTGGGATCCATGATCTGAGTAGACCATGCAGGTCATTAAGGTAGCACCTTACATCCCCTCATTTCCATTCCTCGGCTTGTTGACCAGTCCATGACTGAAGCAGCAGATGGCTGTTTTTTCAGGGGTGCTGAATGCCCACAACTCTAACTGAATTCAGTGGAAATTGCAGGTGATTGGCATCTCTGAAAATCAGGACCTAGATAGTAGTAGTAGTCTGGGAATAGTTGGCTGCAGGGCTTAAATTCTGCATTAGCCCCATAGGGAGGCGCTTGGGCTCAGGGCTTTACCCTGTGGGGAGGTGCCAGGGCTCCCACGGGTTTGAAAATATTCACTGGAGCCAGGGGTGGCTCTATGTATTTTGCCGCCCCAAGCACGGCAGTCAGGAGGCTTTTGGCGGCATGCCTGCGGGAGGTCCGGCTGGTAACGTGGATTCGGCGGCATGCCTGCGGGAGGTCCGCTGGTCCCGTGGCTTCGGCAGCAGGCACGCCGAAGCCACGGGACCGGCGGACCTCCCGCAGGCATGCCGCCGAAGGCTCCCTGACTGCCGCACCCGCTTGGTGCGCTGGTGCCTAGAGCCGCCCCTGACTGGAGCTCTGCTCCGGAGGGCTCCAGCTGAATTTAAGCCCTGGCTGATCACATGGTGCTAGGTTGGGTCCTTATTTCATTAAAGATGGCTGGAAATAATACATTATGTGGGTGGGCGGAGTGATCCTCCATCATGAATGAGAAGGAAGGTGGTCAACAGACAATCTCTCTAAGGTGTTGTCTGCACTTGAAAAAGGGAACTCCCGCCTTAGAGTGAAGCCATCACTGTAAGAAAGCACTCATAGGATTTAGGCCCCTATTCAGCACAGCACTTAAACACATGCTTAATTTTAAACTGGTGCTTCAATCCATCCCTGTTCAGCACAGCACTTAAACCATTATTTCATTGGGACATTAACAGATGCTTAATTGCTGTGTTGAATCAGGGCCTTAAATGGTACAGATGGCCTTTTAAACAGATGTTAATTTAACTCAGAAAGGCAAACACAGAGAAATTCAAACTAGAGACTTACAATTCCTAAGTGAAAGCTGCACAGGAGTTAGTAAAGGACATGCCCTTCATCCAGTGTTTTCTCTTTTAAAAGAAACTTAATAATTTTCCACCTTTTTAAAATCCAAAACCAGTTTTAACACCTTTCACGGTTTGTGATGACAGCTCTTTCTTTCTCTTATTTAATTTATACTGGAACAGGAGTTCTACAAATGTAATTATTACCTGCTAAATCAATAAAGCATTATGTTAAATTATGAATGATTACTCAGGCGTAGAAAACACAAATGCATTGTTGGCTTGTCCTGGACTTTTGATCATAACAAGATGGGGAGTGGGTGTAAAGTATAGAATGCCAGTTTGTCATGAGCTAGTCTCCCAGAGAGTCAAATTGTGACTAAACGTAGCACATGTCTGTGCTTAGATAATATAGAAAAGCATAAGATGGAGAGACAGAGATGGGAAATCCTAATTTCTCACAGTTAAATCCTGACTCAGCAATGGGTGAGCAGTTACAGAAATACAGAAACTAAACTTCTTCACTGTTGGTCCTTCCATCCCACGTCCCTTTCATCCCACATCCCTGAGCCATTGTTTCATTACAATCACAGTGGAGGTAGTGAATGATGTACCTGGTTTGCCCAATGTGCCAGCTGTGTTTATGCTGCAGTGAAGCAGGTAATAGATGCAAAGTAGGAAGGAATACACCCTTTATGACCTTATTGAGACCAATGTCACAATACCATCTAGAATCTGCATGTCCCTCTATGTGATTTTAGCCTGGTGTCTTGAATGACCATAAATGGAAGGTAGGCATATGCTCCAAACTGAGCACCTGCCACGTCACTGCTTCCCTCAAAATGTAACCCTCTAGCCCATGTTTATATGGGGAGATTGTTTGAGGTAATGTAAACATGACACCAGTTTTCCTTCAGGGTTTGATGGATCAATTCTTTCCAAGTGACACTTTGTATTTCAAAATGAGAATCTTTGTCCTTTAGGGCCTGATCCAAAGCTCATTGAAGTCAGTGGAAAGACTCACACTAACTTCAGCGGGCTCTGGATCAGGCCCATACTGCAGGGGTTGTTATGGCACTGACACAATATTCAGCAAAACATTTTGTTATAGCAGGATATCCTCACACTTTGACTGTGTTGTACCTGAGGTATGGAGCCAAAGGCTTTTTACTTTTTAATCATTACAGCGATGCAGGAGTCTGGTGTTGAAGGAGCCAAAATGAAGCGTTATATTTGCTGGAGGTTAAGTCTTGAAGCTCGTTGATGGGAAACCCAGGGACCTGGCCTTTGCAAACTGTTGAAAAATAACTGTGATCTGGGGTTTCTTTCAATGATGTCTGTTTTCCACCTAGGAGCTAGGAAGTCCATGTTCAGCCTGTGACATTCCCCATAGTTTGCCTTGCTTTACACAGTATTATTATCACTTAACGTTTATATTGTGATAGAGCCTAAAGGCCTCAACCAGGTTGGGACCCCATTGTGCAAGGCACAGTACAAATATATAATAAATGACAGCTCCTGCCCAGAATTGCTTGCAGTCTAAAAGACAAGCCATAAGAGGTGGATGGGACAAACAGGAGGGCAGGGTGGTGGCAGGGGAGACAAGATGACAAAATGATTTTGAGTCCCGCCAGCTTCTTGTTAACTCCCATGGCCCCTCAATATCCTTGAGGAAGGGGGAAGTTGGGAAAATAGGAGCACTGATATTTGCCCTCGGGCAAAATCTGAAAATATACTGGATTTGACATATCCAGAGCTGTGGGTAGGAGAAGTAAGCAGTTTTATCCTTAGTTACAACTTAGAAAACTGAAGACCAAAAAAGCTAAGGCCTGGCTTTTCAAATATGGATGCCCAACTTTTACTATAAATTTCTGCTAAAGGAAATTAAAGAAACATCTTTTAAAAAGACAATGATCCTAAAAATTATTGGTCAAATCCTCGTCCTATGAGGAAATATTGCTCATGACACTACTAACTTTTAAAAACCAAGAAATGTATTTAAAGTCCAGTCTTGCACTACTTGGGCAATCCCCCCATTGTCTCCATGCATAACTCCCACTGGTTTTGGAGTGGGGAGGAGTTATTTGTTATGGGCCAATGTTGACACAAGAACAAATGGATATAAACTGACCATCAGCAAGTTTAGACTTGAAATTAGTTGAAGGTTTCTAACCATCAGAGGAATGAAGTTCTGGAACAGCCTCCCTAGGAGAGCAGTGGAGGCAAAAAAAACCTAGTAGTCTTCACAACTGAGCTTGATAAGTTTATGGAGGGGGGTGGCATGATGAGACAGCCTACAATGGCATGTGGCCCATCTGCGACTGCTAGTAGCAAGGAGCCCCAGCGGCTGGAGACAGGAGACTAGATAAGGAGGGCTCTGAGTCACTACAGAGAATTCTTTACCAGGTGTCTAGCTGGTGGGTCTTGCTCACATGCTCAGGGTCTAACTGATCGCCATATTTGGGGTCAGGAAGAATTTTTCCCCAGGTCAGATTGGCAAAGACTCTGCGTGCTTGTTGCCTTCCTCTGCAGTATGGGGCATAGGTCACTTGCTGGTTTGAACTAAAGTAAATGGTGGATTCTCTTTAACGTGAAGTCTTTAAATCATTATTTGAGATCTTCAGTAACTCAGCCAGAGGTTATGGTTCTACTACAGGAGGGGGTAAGTGAGATTCTGTGGCCTGCAATGTGTAGGTCATACTAGATGATCACAGTGGTACTTTCTGGCCTTAAAGTCTATGAGCCTATGAGTAAGCAGAAAACAAGATTTAGAAAATTGTTAAAGAAAGCCACATCACTGATGGTGACCTTTAAACATAGCTGGAGTAAATTTTTTGTCTTTTCTTCGCAATGCAAGTGTAGGCCTGCAAAGCAGTTGATTTACTTGTGTTTACAGTATAATTACACCGTAACATGAAGAAATTAAATGGTAGGATGAAATCCTCAAAAGCACTTTAAAAAGATGTTAACAAGAAATAAACAAATCTTAGGAATATATAAAAGGAAATAGGTTTTCAGACTAGAAAATGCGTCAGAAAACTCCTGAGTTTATAGGGATATTTTAAAAAGTAGAGCAGGGTGTGAACTCAGAATCTGAGGGTTCAGAGGGTCAGATTCTGATAACCTTATTTGGAGCAGCTCCTTACTCCAATGTAACTACTCATGGAGAAAGGTGCTACTCAACACAAGTAACTCTGGCCCTTAGACTATATACTTTTGAGGCCTGGAACTGTGTTGTCCTCTATGTTTGTACAGCACCTAGTACCGTGGGGGCACTAATCCTGATTGGAGCCTCTAAGCACTACTGCAGTACAACTAATGCATAAAATAAGCATAACAAAGGTATTTAGCTTTCAATTTTTTAATTATACCAGCGAAGAAATTAGGTGCCGTGATTATGTGACTGATTTCAGTAGGTCTTTCACACTCCTGAGCTTGCTTCCATAGCAAATTGGAGAAATTAAGGTCACACTTCATATTAAGGATGTGTTTCTAAAATTTTAAGAAATTATATCTCTTTTAATAAACGGTTAATGAATTGTTATAGAGTGTTATGAAGTGTAACTGCAAATAAACATTTACAAGCACCAAAAAACAGCTGCTCTGTACAGATACCAACCATTCTTTATTAACGCCTAACCCCCCAACTTCATCTGCTGCCCAGAAACCTGTTGTACACTAGAACTGGCATTCATTTGGCTTTCCTGCTGCTTCCCATTAAGAATTTGAACTGCCCCATTGGATAGCATGTTATCAGCAAATCTCTTCATGTTGACTCCCTCCACACTCAAAACACCAAGCTGCTGCTTTCACTTAATGCTCTTGTGTGATTTTATTTCACCTCATTATCCACTTTCTTCCTTATTCAGTACCATTCATCCTCTCTTTCCTCATAGACTTCAGACCTGGCAGAAGTTCCTGAGGAAGCGGATGGTTCAGGAAGCATGTTTGATATAAACAGGAAACGCAGCAACAGTGGTGAGTTCTGTACCATCTAGTATTTTCAGATGCACAAAAATATTCTTCTAAATGAGTGGTGTAATTATTCCACTACCTTGGCCCACACAAGTGGAATCCATGAGGGATGAATTTGGCCCAATGTTGACTTTTCTGATGTCCTCAAGGGAGTTTATTGAGTTGGGGGAGAGTTTTGGCCAAGGGGTTGGGAACAGGAGTCTGGGAAGGTCTCTTGACCAGTGTTGCATATTTACTTGGCTCCTAATGGTCTATGGGGACTGATTTTCCATACCCACTATGACCAGATTTAGGTGACAGTGGACAGGCACTCAGCACATCTGGGCTCAGTCCCTGCCTCTGGCACAGACTTCCTGTGTGTTTGTGAGACCTTAGGCTGGTCATTTAATGTCAGTGCGCCTCAATTCCCTACCTGTAAAATGGGGGTGATAATACTTCCTCTCCTCCCACCCTTTTGTCTGTCTTGTCTACTTAGACTATCAGGGCAGAGACAGTCTGCTACATGGGGGGAGGGATAGCTCAGTGGTTTGAGCATTGGCCTGCTAAACCCAGGGTTATGAGTTCAATCCTTGAGGGGGCCACTTAGGGATCTGGGGCAAAATCAGTACTTGGTCCTGCTAGTGAAGGCAGGGGACTGGACTTGATGACCTTTCAAGGTCCCTTCCAGTTCTAGGAGATAGGATAGGATGTGTTCCATACCAAGCTCAGAACAATGGGTGTTGGTCTCAGTTGTGGCCTTTTGGTGCTACTGTAGTACAAATCATAAATAACACTAATAGTCCAAACCTTTTGTCCTCTTTTGGCATCTGAATGTAATGTTCTTGTACTGTTGTAATTGTTATGAGGTAACTCCATCACTGGCAGCCCAGTGATGAAGACTTTTGTGAGTGCAGTGAGGGAGCCTTAGCCAGGAGCTTGGAACACTGAGTAGCGAAATTGCAGTGTCCATTGGGCTCCAGTTCAGTCCTGGCAATAGAAGGATTGTGTGTAGAAAGAACTTTGGGGCACCCAATAAACCTCTAAGCTAGGAGTGGAGTTGTTGTTGCACCGAGGCTCACCAATACCACCAAGAAGCGTTAGTATTCCCAAACTTCAGGCAGGGGCAGACAGGTCGGATCTGAGGCAAACACAAGCCATAGTGAATGGACCTCCCTTCTTTGAACCCCAACATCCACCTCCTCCACACTGCAGATCCCCATTGGTCTTGGCATATGGCTAGTAATTTTTATAGTGGTCAGGTGTTAACTGTAGTTGTCTTTTCCCACCCCCACCCCCCATTTTACCTCCTTCCCAGACTCCTCCCTGCTCCTCATTCTGACCTTTTCATTTCACATATCTGTTTTCAGTCCTTTTCCTCCCTCTCAGCATGTGGCCCACCCATCAGTGGCACTGACTGATGGATGGGCTACATGCTGAGAGGGGATTTTCAACTTCATTTGAGCACTTGGAACTGTAACTCAACCTGGCCAGTGGTAAAGCATCCGGTCAACCTGAGTTTCATTTTTCCCCTGAGGTGTTCAGATCGTTGGATTTTTTTTTTCCATCACTTACTTCCTTTTTTTTTTTTTTTTTGAGCCAGTAAGAAACTTTTCTATGGGATCTGCATGACTTAGAGGCATCAAGAAACTTACTCAAAGAGATCAGTTTAAAGAACTCAGCATGTGCCAAACCTCCAAATAACTTCCTCAGCACATTAATGATTCCTTTGATCGGCATTGGCTTTCTTTTTCGATCCATCCTTCAGAGGCCTAGTGTATAAATTATGCAGCAATTGCTCCAAATATTTCCTCTTGGTAGATTTTAATAAACTGCCTGTGTTGTTTGTACTAATGATGGAAATGCTAAGACCCTTTTCATGCTGTCAGAGTTCCCACATGGTTTTCCTGCCGCTGCAAGGGCAAACAGATGGATTTCTGGTTTGTGTAGAGATGAACCCCATACTTGCTATGACCTTTACTTTTACATGTCTCCCAGTAATATTCAGAGAGCATGAGCTAAACAGAGATTAAAAGTTTAATGAACTCATTTAAAAATATTCTTGGGGCGTTATTCACCATTGCATTGCTCCAGCTTTACACGGGATAACTCTGGTGATTCTAAATGGTGTTACTACACCATAAAGCTAGAGTAACACAGCAATGAATCAGGCCCCTGGTGTTTTATTTTTCCCAGAGAAACCTGACTTCCTCAAGGAATGTTTTAGAAAAATGCAGATTTGTGTCTGTTTATGCAATAGGGAAACAGCAAGAGGAACACAGTATGGAGAAGTCTAGGAGGCACAACAAACAGAGGCTGGTTTATACATGTCAATAGGATTGAGATAATTTCAAGGGGAAATTAATTCTCTACAGTGCTAAAGCACAGACAATATCAAATGTGCTTAGTTTACAAATAAAAAGATGACTTTTCCAACTGCCAACTCTGTAAACTCACCCTGGTCTCCACCAATCAATTGGGCTCATTACTTTGCATGCATTGTTACCAGTAATAAAAGTTCTGCAGGTCAAATTATTCTGTAAAAGACATCTGTTCAGTCCCATTGTCATCAGTGAGTTTGCGTAGATATAACTGATTCAGGTATAGGAAACAATCTCCATGTAGGAACACACTTAGTATTCAGTTCTGTCAACGCACCAGGAATAGAACCCAGCTCACGCACTCAGTTGATTCTGCATTGCTAACCAGAGTAAAAAATAGTAGTAAGATTTTATTTTTGTCAATGGAGAAATCAGAAATTACCCTGAATACACAATCTGATGAACAAGAAGGTTACATTTAGATAATCTACTTTTCAGGTCAGAAATGCACTCTAAAATTTTATAAAGCCTTTTCACGTTATGAATGGTGTAAGTCTAGCTAGATATTACCTCACTCATCTTTTCTGTTATTGGGCCAGCTTCTGTTGGTGGCAGAGACAAGCTTTTGAACTTACACAGAGCTCTTCCCCAGAACTGAAGAGCTCTGCGTGAGCTCGAAAGCTTGTCTCTCTCACCAACAGAAGTTGGCCCAATAACAGATATTAGCTTACTGAGCTTGTCTCGCTATACCACTGGGGAAGCAGAGAGCGATTCAGCGGGAGTGCACTGGCTTCTTGGCTTTTATTATTCTGAAAGTATGAAACTAAATCACAGAGAAGGGAGACAACAATACACAGAACAACCACTAATAACTGGCTCAGACTGCTTTTGGAGACTTCTGACTTACTTCTTATTTTTCTAACAACAAATGTAAGCCAATCCTGGGACTAAACTTTTCTAAAAGTGACTTAGGCCCAGAACAGTTGATGGCTTCCATCTACTAAAATCATGGCTGGGCTTTGTCCAAAAGTAGGGGACACTATTCTCTACAAATTAGGAAACTGTTCTTAGAGAGTGAAGAAGGAACATAATGTAATAAAGCAATTGATGTTAGCAGGGAAGGCACCTGAAGCAATGGTGTATAAATCAGCTAATGAAACAATTACAGTAGATTAAGCTAAATTCTGATACCCTTATTAATCCTGAGTGGGACCTTACTTCTTGAGTAGACCCATTGATTTCAATGGAGTTACCCACAAAGTGAGGTGTTACTCAGTGTGAGTAAGGCTGCCAGAATCTCATTGCCTGGGAGTCAAGAGACCTGGGCTCTATTCCCAACTTCGCCACTGACCTGCTGCATGACCTTGGGAATTTCTCCTGTTTCCCTTCCCACCTTTTGTTTTATGTGTTCTGGTTGTTAATTCTTCAAGCAGGGACTGTCTTGTGCTACTTATTTGTACAGTAATTAGCACAATGGGGTGCCAGACTTGGTTGGGGCCTATCAGTGCTACTGCAATACAAATGCCTGATTAACAAAAGAAGAACATTACTGAGAGCGGTAGGGAACAGTTAGAAAGGAAGGATTAGGAGAGAGAGATATAAGGTGGGCCTCGGGAGGTGAATGGCCTTCAGCTGTCCCTAAAATGTCATGTGTTGTGTTTTATTTCAGTGTTTACCTACTCAGAAAATGGAACAGAAGACTTCGGAGAAGAATCAAAAAGGATAAACTCCCTGGTATGGGCAAAGATTTAGTGAGCGTATAGTGAAAATGTTAATTGATTTAAGAGGTTTGTTTTTACAGAAGCACACTTGGGTGAGCATTATAAATTGGCCTGGTGAACACAAACATTATGACAGGTGAGCCAGAGCGATGTGAATGGAGCAGTCTTACAGCTGTGACAGCATAAAAATGACACTGCACAATCCAGAGTCTGACATAATTTGAAAAGGATCTTGGTCTTTTTGCAGTTTCTTTTGGTCAAATTGTCCCTGGCCCTTGCGTGAGGGCATATATGGAGAGAGGGGATGCAAGGAGTGGTCTCCCTCATTGAGCACACTGTGCAAACGTTCCTGAGGTGGGAGAGTGCCCAATCCTTCCTTGAGCTCTGGCTTTCATGGTTATGCACCACCCTCCTCAGCACTGTGGATGACCAGCACAGGCTAGCTCTTTGTAATTTATACCCATCATATAAAAAAGGTGACTTTAACAGAGGGCTAGATGTTGGCGGGGAAGGGGGATGGAGAGGAGACATGGAAAATTACAGTAGGGCCATAGGAGCAATAACAAGGAAACCAGTGGAGGAATCTGCTCAATGTTTTAGATGTCTATTCACAAATGCAAGGAGTATGGGGAATAAACAGAAAGAACTGAAAGTATTAGTCTGGAAACTAGATTATGGCTTAAGGAAGGACAGGCAGGATCAAAAGGAAGGAAGTGTTGCATTATACATCAAGAATATATACACCTGTTCTAAAGTCTAGGAGGAGGTAAGAGACAGGCCAGTTGAAAGTGTCTGGGTAGAGATCAAAAGGGTAAAAAAATGGGGGTGACATCATGGTAGGGGTCTATTATAGACCACCAAATCAGGACAAGGAGGTGAATGAAGCATTTCAAGAACAAATAACAGAAATATCTAAAACAAAAGACCTGTTAGTGATGGGGGGACTTTACCCAGACATCTGTTAGAAAAGTAAGATGGCAAAACACAAATTTTCCAATAAGTGCTTGGACTGTATTGAGGACAACTTTTTGTTTCAAAAAATGGAGGAAGGAACCAGGAGGACAGCCATTTTAGATTTGATTCTGACCAACAGGGAGGAATTGGTAGTGAATCTGAAGCAGGAAGGCAATTTGGGTGAAAGTGACCATAAAATTATAGATTTCATGATTCTAAGGAAAGGAAGGAATGGGAGCAGCAGAATAGGGGCAATGGACTTCAAAAAAGCAGATGTTAGGCTCAGAGAACTGATAGATTCTCTTCCCATAGGACCTTATCTAAGGGGGAAAGGAGTTCAGGAGGGCTGACAGTTTCTCAAGGAGACAGTATTAAAGGCACAATAGTAAACTACCCTGATGCAAAGGAAAGATAAGAAGAATAGTAAGAGGCCAATATGACTCCATCAGGAGTTCCTTAATGACCTGAAAATCAAAAAGGAATGCTACAAAAAGCGGAAATATGGGCAAATTGCTAAGGACGAGTATAAAAGAACAGCACACGTAGGTAGGGACAAAAGCAGAGGGACTAAGGCACAAAATGAGTTATACTTAACAAGGAACATAAAAGGGAATGAGAAGAGGTTCTTTAATACATTAAAAAGAAAAGCATAGGTACTATACTTAGAAGGGAAGTGGAGCTAATAACTGATGATATTAAGAAGGCGGTGGTGTTTAATGCCTATTTTTCTTCAGTCTTCACTAAAAAGGCTAATGGTGACCAGATACGTAATACAATTAATATGAACAACAAGGGGGGAAGGAACACAAGCCAAAAAGTACAAGTTAAAGAATATTTAGATTATTCAAGTCAGCAAGATGTGATGAAATTCACCCTAGAGTACTTAAGGAACTAGCTGAAGCAATCTGAGAACTATTTCCAATTACATTCAAGAATTCACGGAGGACAGGTGAGTTCCTAGAGGGCTGGAGAATGGCAAATATAGTACCTATCTTTAAAAATGGGAACAAAGAGGACCCCAGGAATTATAGACCAGTCAGTCTAACTTTAATACCTGGAAAGATACTGGAACAAATTATTAAATAAGCAATAGAGGTTAATAGGGTTATAAGGGGCAACCAGCATGGATTTGTCAAGAACAAATCATGCCAAACCAACCTAACTTCCTTCTTTGACAGGATCCCTGTCCTAATGGATAGAAAGAAAGCAATAGATATGCTATATCTTGATTTTAGTAAGGCTGTTGACACAGTCCCACATGACATTCTCATAACTAGGGAAATGCGATCTAGATGAATTTACAATAAGGTGGGGGCATCACTGGTTGAAAAACAGTATTCAAATAGTAGTTATAAATCATTCACTGTCACACTGGGAGGATGTATCTAGTGGTTTCATTAATAACTTAGATAATGGAGTAGATAATTTGCTTATAAAATTTGTAGATGACACCAAGCTGGGAGGGGTTGCAGGCACTTTGGAGGGCAAGATTAAAATTCAAAGGGACCTTGACAAAATGTAGAATTGGTCTGAATTCAACAAGATAAAATTCAGTAAAGATAAGGGCAAAGTACTTCATTTAGGAAGGAAAAATCAAATCCATAACTACAAAATGGGAAATATCTGGCTAAGTGGTAGTACTGGCGTAAAGGATCTGAGGGTTACAGTGGATCACAGCTTGAATACGAGTCAATGATGTGCTACAGTTGCAAAACAGGCTGATATTTTCAGGGTGTAAGAACAGGAGTGTTGTATGTAAGACACAAGAGGTAATTGTCCTGCTTTACTGAGCACTGGTGAGGCCAGAGCTGAGTACTGTGTCCAGTGCTGGGCACAACAAAGATCTGGACAAATTGGAGAGAATTCAGAGGAGAGTAACAAAAATCATAAAAGTACAGAAAACCTGACCTATGAGGAAAGATTAAAAAACGGGGGATGTTTAGTCTTGAGAAAAGAAAAAGAAAACTGATGAGGGCCCTGATAGTAGTCTTCAAATATGTTAAGGGCTGTTATAAAGAGGACTCTGATCAATTGTTCTCCATGTTTATTTAAGCCCATTACTTCCTTCATCTGAAGCATGGGAGCTTTAGGCTAACTATTTGGAAAAGCTTCCTATTCTTCCGAGGGGGTTGTGGAATCCCCATCATTGGAGGTTTTTGAGAACAGGTTTGATAAACACCTGTGAGGGATGGGTCTAGGTTTACTTGGTCCTGCCTCAGCGCAGAGGGCTGGACTTGATAACTTCTTGAGGTCCCTTCTAGTCCTACATTTTTATGATTCTATATGACAGTAATAAACTGCAAGGCACATATCATGCAGTCTTTAGCATACAGCAAAGAGCATGGGTTTTTTTTAAGATCTCACCCAAAATATGCACAAAGCACTCTTTATCTGCTTCTGGAGGATGAAAAGTTGAGTCAGCTCTGACAGAACTTGAACCTGTGGTTCTAGAGGGTCTAATTGTTGCAAACTTCAGAAGTCATGTTTATCCCCTAATACCCTCTTAAAACTTAAACATTTCTTTGATTTAGAGCCAACTCTGCATCTTGTCCCTATGTGTGTAATGGGATGAACCAAAATCTTGGATTGAAAGGCCCCAGAGTTCAATAAAGTTCAGATCTGGAGCCAAATATTACATCTCAGACCCATCTCTATCGAGGGCATGGCAATTCTAGCAGCCAGAAACTTACAGGTTTTCTTATCTGTTTTTCCCCCCCTTAAAGGGACCTCTTTATAAAGACACATTACAAATGCACACCTACGTTGCCTTGTACAAATTTGTACCACAAGAGAATGAAGACTTGGAGATGAGGTAAAGTGCTGACATATTTACTTATTGATTTGACCCAAGAAAACTGAGAATGGTGCAGACTTAAATTAGTGTTGTACTTTTAATTCTAATTTTGCTATGCATATTTGTATTATATTATTTATATAAACATGGTCTCACAGCTATTTAATTATGTATTCTTTCCCTCTTTCCACTTATGAAAAATGCTACAGAGTTGAGGACAAGTTTTTTACAAAGAAAATAATGGTTAAAACTTTCAAGTCAAGTCCAGTGTGTTGGGCGCTTTTGATAATTATGCTCTAAGTCCCATTCAGTGACTTTCAGTGAGACTTAGGTTCCTAAGTGCTGACGTCTCTTTTGGGATGGTTGACAATTTTTTTACAGAAAATTGGATTTTCAGCTAAATACATATTTTTGCAGCATCTGCTTTCCCTGAAATTTTAGATTTTTTTTTAATCAGAAAACGACAAACTTTGTTTTGTTTTGGCCAAAAATAATTCAATTTTCAGCAACCAAAAAAACTGAAAAAATATCAGGTTTTAAATTTGGGGGGTTTTGACAAAAAAATTTCCACAGGAAAAAGAATCCCATTTTCTAACCAGATCTAGTGACAAGGTCGGAACTTCTAAGTGTTATATAACTGATTGCTCCCTCCCCTCCTACCCTCCCCCACACAGCGATTTTGTCTCAGAAAAGGGGAATGAGGAGGCTCTCAAGGTGGTGAATGGCTGCTAGTGTGTTTTCGTGTACAATATATGGAAGGTTGGTTTGAACTGCAAAATCTTCTGGTTCAAATATCTTTTCTTTAGCACTTTTTCATTTAACCCTGCACTAGTGCTGCCTTGTCCAGTCTAACAGGGCCTGTCCAAAGCCCCACTGAAGTCAAAGGGAATTTTTCCATTGACTACCCTGGGCTTTGACAGAGGCCCACAGTGAGTAGTTTGTTGCAGAGACTTTAATAGGCTCTAGGAGTGCTGGCTGCTTTGGGCACAGTTCACAAAACAAATCATCTCTCTTCATGATTTACCCAAGGTCAAACCAGTCAGATGCTGACTCCAATAAAATATATGTAACCCTTCTGCCCATAAGAGTTGGCAGCAACAAGGGCCGGGTTCAGTATCTAGGGGTTCCGTTTCAATAACACAATGCAAAACCGGCTCGAACCCCCACCCAGTGACCTGGGACAATTACATACCACCCCCCGGGTGCCTCTAAGAGGCAATACTTCCCCTCTTGCAAGCACAGAGGCTGAGCGTAGCAAAAGCCTTTTCATAAAGGAGGAAAACAATGCGGCATTATGTTGGGGAAACACTACAAACAGGATTGATAACACAAATCATGAGCAAAAGACCCGCTCCCAAGTAAGTTTGGCAGTGTCCTTTTCCCCTCAGGGTCTTAAGTCCAGCAACCCAACAGTCACCCCACCCACAGTTTCTGTGCTTGGTCAGTGCAGCCTCCCAGAGTTCAGAAGTTCATCTGCAGAGTTTATCTCCCAGCCTGGGTGGAAGTGGGGGAAAGGTATGGGGGCATCTTACATGCTCCGCTGCTCGGGTTGATGGCCGATTGCCACGTCTCTCCCTGGGGTTCTGCTACAGTCTTCACTGCCAGCTGTGCCTCTCCACCAACCATCCTGCTAGCCGCTCCTCTCTGCTAGCCATCCTGCTAGCCACTCACCAACTTGTCTTCAGGCCCCCCTCTACTTAACACAGCTCTTAGTGATTTCAGCTCTTAGTAACTTCAGCTCTTTAGTGTTTTTCAGTTCTCGATGATTTCTGCTGTTAGTAGGAGGAGCCTCAGTGTGGCACACTCAGAACCACTAGTCAAAAGTAGGTCTAATGCTTAGACCTAGGAATTAGTGATTACAGCTCTGCAGCACCTAACAAGACTCCTAACTGAGTCAAAATTAACTCTATTATTACACCATGGCAGGGGGTGTCAAAGTGGTGTTTGCAGCCCCACACTACTAGATACATATGCCTGTCCCCAGCATTTCTCAATTCACTGGGCTTTGGAACCCATGTCCCTTGCCTAGCAAGTGCTACTTAGTTGAGGGTGAGTCCCTCCATCATAAAATGCCAAGTACAGTTCTACTGTCCTTGATTCACATAACCAGGATAACAACACTTTATTACTCCTGCCCCAGTAACAAAGAGACTGGGGATCCCACAGCACCAAAATGACCATTTGGGCAAGCAGTCCATCATGCTAGGCGGGGCGGGAGATGTGCCCATGCAAACGAGATCAGCCCCTGAAGTCCTTTTCCACAGCTCACCACCAGATGTCAGGGTAGAGCTCATTCTGACTCTGCTTACATATGCTTACAAAGTCACTCAAGAAAAGTCCCACTCTTCAGCATCTTTCTATTTCCCAGTTTTCAACTGTGCCCTCTCCTTGCTCAAGATAGAGCTAGCATTTTGCATGGCTAGCATTTTTCCATGACTGCTTTGTTTCAGGTGTGATAACTGGATAGAAAATAGCCACATGCAGGATGACATTTGCTAGGAATCCAGAGCCCCTATGTCTAAATGCTCTGCATGTTGGACTCTCATTTTGCATTATTGATTTATTTTGGTTTATGCACTCACTCATTCGATTAAAAAGGAGCACCATCTTAAAATGTAATGTAACCATGCTTCCCAAGGATGTCTAATAACCCAGCAGCTGAACCACGTACTCATCCCCTGCCAGAGTCCTCCCACACCCTTACAACAAGGTATAAAAATGTGCCTCGCAGTCCGTCCTGATGGTTGATAAACGAGGACTGCTTTGGATTGACTTGCCTTCTCAGTTGAGATGCCAGCTAAGTTTTCGATTAGTGCCACTTGTTATGGTGGTAGATTTTTGTGTGTGGCCCAAAGCCACCACAATGAAGAGCATCAAATAATCACCAGATAGCAATGCTGTTTGGTCGCTACTGACCTGGGCTGGATTCACACTGGTCACTACGGGTTAGATTTTTGTCTAAACCAATGGGAGTAAGACACCTAGGTCGTTTTGAAAATTCCACTAGGCACCTGTGTGAATCTTTAGATGCCTAAATACCTTTTGAAAGATGGCCCAAAGCACTTTAAAATCGTTGGCAAGCATTATTATCCCCATTTGATAAAGGGGAAGACAGAGGCTAGGTCTACACTACCCGCCTGAATCGGCGGGTAGAAATCGATCTCTCGGGGATCGAATTATCGCGTCTTGTCGGGACGCGACAATCGATCCCCGAATCGACGCGCTTACTCCACCAGCGGAGGTAGGAGTAAGTGCCGTCGACGGGGAGCCGCGGAGGTCGATTTTGCTGCTGTCCTCACAGCGGGGTAAGTCAGCTCCGATACGTCGAATTCAGCTACGCTATTCGCGTAGCTGAATTTGCGTATCTTAAATCGACCCCCCCCGTAGTGAAGACCTGCCCAGAGAAAATAAAGACTCAGTCCCTTGACTTTAATGGGAGTGGGTCTGGCTTTTAAGTGGCGTAGCTAGGAATCAAACCCAGGTCTGATGTGCCGTCACTGGTGCACGCTGTCCAATCAGTTCCTGACATGTTCCAAGAAGACTGGAAGCTTTATGGTTCTGTGATGTCATCACTCTTGTACAAGGAGTTCAAGATAGGATGTGGGGAAAGCTGGAGAAATTAGGGTTCAGCTATTGCCCATTAATTTCAGTGAATTCAGAACCCCCATTGCCCCAAGGAAAGGCTCACACCCAGCAGAACAGAATTCTTGGAGCCGGTCACATTGGGAAGTGGGCAGAACTTACTTCCAACAGCACAGTGTGTCATGTTTGTGTAACAACTTGATGCAGCACCAAAGTGGGTCTTCAGATATCTGCTGCACTAATGCTGCAATATTAGGGATGAGCCCAGCAGACTCAAATATGGCAAGTTGGAGTAGGCTAATATTTCTGGCCAAATTATTCTCCCAGCCTGAGGCTGTAACTAGTCAGCTGCCTTCTGATACTCAGCAATTACAGCATGACTCCACACATTATAAAGGTAAATACGTCCCATTTGAATCAAAAAGACATTTCTGTGTAGAATTACATCCCTGCTGATTAATTATATTTGTCAGTTAAATAAAACTGTTTTCCTGCTGCCTTCCTTTAGCAGTAACAGCACGAGAACCTGGCTGATAAGATTCTGTGTCCCAACAATATTTAATGCCTTCATGTAACATGGTGATCCCTGTTACAAATGGGTATTTCTAAGCAGTTTCAGACTAAATTGGAAGCAAAGTACATCACATAGGATTTGCCATCTTACAACAAAGGTCTTTCTATAAAAAGGAGGGGAGGAGATTGTGTATTCTAAACTGGGATGTCAGGTTCTAATTGCTGAGGTACGGTGAAATTTGGTTTAATATATCACCCACCACTTTCACAGCCCTTTATTGCTCCTGTTGAATTCAGCAGCAAAACTGAATGGGAGTAGGGCCCAGGCTCTGTGTGGATCAAACCTTAGGGCCATATTGGGCCAAACCTTAGGGCCCTAGAATGGATGACGTTGGGGGAGGGTTAAAGGCGCCTTCTCTCTGCCAAGTGCCTGCATTAGCCAGGCACAATAGTAGTCCTTCCACTCTAGGGAGCACAGGATCACATCAAAGAGGATGGGGGAAAATGGGGGTCATGGCCATGTGCCCCTCAACTTCCACCTAATGCAACCCTCACCAGTCCGTGGCTCACCGGCCAGAACACAGAAAGGAGAAGACTGTCCCATTCTATAGAATGATGTCACATGCACTCTCCCCTTCCATGTGTCAGGTTGCTGGGCCAGAGATTATGCTTGTGAGGCAAAAATCCCTCAGTGTGTTCACCCTGGTATTGTACCTGCCAAACTGCCGCTAACATGAGCCAGTGCAAAGAACACAGGGCCAAATCCTCAGCTGGTATTTATTGGCACAGCACCACTGACTTCATTCTGTCCCCACTCAGCTGCAGGTAAAAAATGTTACAGCTTGTGGGAGTATCAGCAGAGCCATGCGGGACCTGATAGCTCTACCTTGGCATCAAAATGCACAGGAGAATTCAATGGGACAAATTTTGCACCCAGTTACAATGGTCCAACTATGCTGGCATCACTGAGCTTTGCACTTGTATAACTGAGAGCAGAGTTTGACCCTCTCTCACCTGGCAGATGGAGATTTTGCTTCTGTACTCCTATCTGACTTAGGAAGTTCTCATTGCTTCATGGATCCACATGTAGTGATTAATGAGATATAACGATCAAGGCTGGGTTACCCTTCTAAGAGAATTTCACTATGAATGCTGATGTGCTGTTGCAATTAAGACACATCTTAATCGAAATTCCCGACATCTGTCCTTTCTAATTATAGACCAGGTGATATGATCACACTGCTGGAGGATTCTAATGAAGACTGGTGGAAGGTATGGGCCAAATACTCTATATCCTTTAACAAAATAAATTAATGGTATTTATAATGAGTATGAAGGTCATTCTTCTGTCAATGTGCTTGCTCTGCAGGGGAGAATTGAGGACAGAATAGGATTTTTTCCCGCTAATTTTGTTCAGAGAGTGCAACAAGACGAAAAGATTTTCAAGTGCGTCAGAACATTTATCGGATGCAAGGAGCAAGGACAGATTACTCTGAAAGAGAACCAAGTAAGTGAAGTACACCATTTACTGTATATTAAGGACACAGTTTGCGTCTGACGAAGTGGGTATTCACCCACGAAAGCTTATGCTCCAATACATCTGTTAGTCTTAAAGGTGCCACAGGACTCTTTGTTGCTTTTTACAGATCCAGACTAACACGGCTACCCCTCTGATACTAGTGTATCCAGTAATCTGCTTGATTTCATTAGACGTTTTGGGTGTGCAAAGAAACCATGAGCAGACTTTCACAGCACACAGAATTTTTTTCAGTAAATATTATTTATATTGTGGTAATACCTAGTCCCCAGTCAGGATCATGGCCTCATTGTATGTACACTAGAGCTGTGTAGGAAACTGTTTTTTCATCCCCTGATAGTTTTCAAGATTTTAAAATTTCTTCATATGCCAACTCAGGCTGAAAAATCAAAATATCAAAAATTTTCATGAACATATCTGAAAAAAAATTCAGATCAGGCCAATCTAAATGTTTCTTTTCAACAATTTTGATACATTTCATTTATATTGGCCTTTTAAAACCTTTATTTAATATAAACTAACTCAAATTTCAAAACAAAGTCATTTTGAACCAGAAAATGAAACTTTTTGTTTTGAAAATTTCAAAACAAGATTTTTCAACCTTTTATACACTTTGTTTTTTTAAAAAAAAATCAGGATATTCGTGAAAACCAACCCTTTCCTGCAAACAGTTTTGATTTTGACAAATCAACATTTTCCACGGAAAAAATGTTTTGTCAGAAAATTCTGACCAGCTGTACCAAACACTGGGAAGACAGGTTGTGCCTCAAAGAGTTTATGGTCTAAATCCTCAATCCCACAAAGATTTATGGACATGGTTAATTTTACAGACTGTGAATTGTCCTAGTGACTTCAGATGGGACAACAAACAATGCATAAAGTTAAGCACATATGTAAGTTTGTTGCAGAACTGGGGCTTAATTCAAGACAAGACTCAACAAAAGTGTTTAACAGACAATAAGAGGGAAGGGGAGGTTGAGGGTAATAGTGACGGGAATGCTGATACATGGGGCAATATGTGAACAACTAGAGGCATCCAAATAATTCAGGATGGGATTTTCAAAACTGCTTTGCATTGGGCCTGACCTTGCTCCCACCAATGCCAATTCCCAAAGGCTTGACTTCAAAGGGAGCAGTTAAGATAACACCATCCTTAGATATCTTTTCATTATCATTTTAAATGCCTTATCATTCCATAACTCCTTGTTCCTCCCTTTCCCTCTCATTCCTACACACTGATTTTTTTAAAAACACCCCTGTATAATATTTTTTTCACTGAACTCACACAATCTATTCACTCTGAAGGTCTTTGATCAAATCCTCCTCTTTCATATTGTTTTTAAATGCGCACACAAAATGATGGGCATATCTTTCATCTGGGGATACGCCTTTGGTGTGTTCTTATTTCAAATTTGATTTTGTAACTACTTTTCCTGAATACTGAATGGATCCAATTGAAGTCAGTGGAGGGCTTCTATGGGATTGCACTGGCATAAATGAAAGCAGAATTTAGCCCATTCTACATTAAAAGAACATCAACACTGTGACAAACACAGTAACATAACTAAGGAAACGAACAACTAAGGGAAAAAATATAGCCTAGGATCTCTGATACAAAGGGACATCAGCTTGAAATCTTTCTTAGTACATCCTGATAGAGCTAATTATTTTCCCCTCTTCATGGGGCTTTTTCTTTCCTTTGGAGATTTGCATCACATCTCGTATCCCTAGGGGCCAAATTCTGTGCTAACTTGCACTCTCTGCAATGCAACTGACCTTAATGCGGTTGAATGTGGGGGGGAGGGGTGTCTAGGTCAGCATAGAATTTGGCCCCTAATGTTTCTTTAATGTAGCATTTGCTTGTGACATTTGTTAGCACTTCAGTTTGATGATGGGTTAGGATATTTCACCCCTTTGATGTAGAAGAATGTCTAAGTGCTAATATTTTGTGGCAACATCAGCCCTGTAAATAAGATATTGGAAGAGCAGTACTTGGATTATATAGTTTGACTGCCTTCCTGCAGCAAGTACATTAGGCAGCATTGAAGCTGTTAAAGTGAGATAAGCTGCATGAAGTATTTTACCATCACAGTAAATTGATGCAAATGTCTTCACTGTGAGCCTGATTTTCCACTGCCCTGCACCTTGAGTGGTTATTTTCATCTGTGCAAAAGGATGGGAAAAACATGATCCAATCAGTATAGTAGGGGTTTAAACCACTTTGCACTGGTGTGAATGACTAGGTAAGGGGGAAGGGAGTGGGGAATCTAGCGCTGTGAATGTGATGTGGCAACATGAAGGTAGATTGACAGATGATTTGTGTGATTAAATCAGATTATAATGTTAAGCACATGATATCCTGTCAGTTAACATGACTACCATTGTAAATGCTATGGATCAGTTTTCTTGTATCATTTCCCATAAAACTATAATTTCTAAAAGATCTGATATAAAGTCTGGCACTTGTCTCCAAACATGAAACCATCCTATTGTCCTTCTTTCATAATAGGATTGCATGGGAGCTATCATCAGGAGCAGCTCATTGTTTCAATTCAATATATGAGATGAACAGAGGTGGACTAATTCGTCCTGTCTGTCAACCCCTTTGTTCCCTTTTAGTAAGGACGAGCAAACTTGTCTTGCTTAATTCCAAACCCATGCAAACACTGAAGTTCAACTTGAATGTTATGGGTTCTCTGTCTGCTTAGGAGAAGCTGGGGGAAAGGGAGTGAAGAAGGGGAAAATGTGTTCAATGGAAAATAGAGCACAGAGATCAGGCAGAGTGAACAAGTAAATTCAGAGGGATCTGGGGAAAAGATGTAGAGACTGAGAACAAAATCTAATGAAGGAATAAATGTAGGAGGTCAAATTATGACCACCCACTTCAGGGAGATGCAGGAGGGGAGGTGCAAGGAACCTCCATGCCACTTGGCACAACTTCCACAAAGGAATCCCTTTCGTCATCCTGGGACTATCCCTGAGGTGGTCTGACCCCCACACAGGGCTGTACTTAACTGGCACAAGTCTGGATCATTGAACTTTTTTTTAAAACAAAAAATGGCTTTTTGACCATTACAATTTTTCCTCACCAAAAACTATGTTTTTGCTATGGTTTTTCATTAAAAGGTTTACTTTTCAAAAATCAATTTTTAAATGTTTGTTTGTCTCTCTTTTTCTCCATTCCTCTTTTCTATTTTGCCACTGGAAATAGAAAATGGGAAAGGAAAAAAGGGGAAGAAAAATGAAAAACAAGAAAGATTCATGTAGGGAGATTGGTTTAATCAAAACCCCAAAAATTTCAGTGGAAATTTTTGAATGAAATGAAAAATGTTCATTCCTTTTGACATATTTTTTTGGAAAATACTTAACATTTTTCAGCTTTGGACACAAGTGTGGCTAATATACCTGCTTTACACAGTTCACCACTCATGCCAGCCTAGCTTTTGAAGGAAAAGGAGAGATTCTTCAGTCCCAAACATAGAGCTCAGGCTTCTCTTTAGCTAGGAAAACTGCATAATTCATTTAACAAATTAATGTAAATTATATTAGCACAGATTCTCCTCATTTTACATGGATGTAAATTGACTGGGTCAAAATCTGTGCTGGCCCAGAAGTCATACGAAAAGCATATGTGACAATGAAGTCAGTGGGGTTACGCCAACAGCGACCTGGCCCATTGAGTTTAATGTGAGCTTCTCATTTTCAAATACAGTGCTTGTCACCAAGGGCTTTCATACTGCAGGATGCTCCTGTTGATGCTTGAACATAACTCCCTGCCGCGTTAGTGGGTGTTATGTATGCACGTCAGGAAGAGAATATACAAACCTTAAAGTGCCCGGTGCAGAAAATGAGGAAATTTTTGTATGCACAATATTATATCAAATCGGCAGCAAAAATTCATAATCATAGACAAAAATACAGGCTATTTTCAAATACAGGCAAAGAGATTTTCAGCATCCTAGGCACCGTGAGCACGTCTGCCTGTGTCTTTGCTTTGCACAGTTTCAAACACTTTGAGTTTCAGGTTCATCCAAACCTTTATGGCAAAGCTGATGCTGAGTGTATGTCTACCCAGCCCGCAGAAGCAGGCCTCTGAGCTTAGATCAGCAGACTCAGGCTAGCAGGGCTTGTGCTAGCACTCTAAAAATACCTTTATAGACAGCACGTTGACATTGCAACTTGAGCTGGAGTTTGAGCTCTGAAACCTAGGGAGTGGGGTGGGCATTAGAGCCTGAGCCACAACTGCAAAGCACTGTCTACATCACTATGTTTTAGAGTCTAGGACAAGCCACTCTAGCCGGAGTCTCTCGATTTGGGTTGGGAGGCCTGCTTCTTTAGGCTGTGTAGACAGGGTGGGGTAGCTCAGTGCTTTGAGCATTAGCCTGCTAAACCCAGGGTTGTGAGTTCAATCCTTGAGGGGGCCCCTTCGGGATCTGGGGCAAAATCAGTACTTGGTCCTGCTGGTGAAGGCAGGGGGCTGGACTCAATGACCTTTTGAGGTCCCTTCCAGGTCTAGGAGATAGGATATCTCCATATATTATTATTATGCTAAGGAGGAGAAGGGAAACAGCACATTTTGCTCCTCCCTCTCTTGTATTATGTAAGGGTTCCACTTCACATAAGAGCTCTTGAAAAATTCATTATGAAAGATGAAACTCAGCCTAGGAAAAAAGCATTCTTCAAAGACATCAACATTTTTCATGCTAGGGTTCAGTGACAGGCTTGTGCAGGTTGAAACTGGTTCAGAAGAAAAATTTCTCTATAGTGCTCAATTCTGTGCCGCCTAAAAAAAAAATGTGTATGCAGTGTTGTAGCCCAGGATATTAGAGAGACAAGGTGAGTGAGGTAACATATTTTATTGGACTAACTTCTGTTGGTGAGAGAAGCTGGTCCAATAAAAGATATTACCGTCTAGAAAAAAACGTGAGTTTTGCTGTTGATTTCAGGAGAGTAAGAGCAGGCCCTTATTTTTGAGTTTGAAACCAAAGCTAGCCAACTTTTGCAGGTTTTCAGATTTTGAAACAAAACTCTTGCATGCCACTAGTTGTGTAAACTTTCCCATTTGAGATTGTGTCCTCACCTGGATGTGAAAATCTTTCTCTAGCCTGAAATGTCTGACCCAGCATATCAGTTCAATAACACAGATTCTACAGCCCTCCCTTTATACGTTAGCAGGTCTTAAGTGAAACTCTGCTCAAAAAAAGAAATCTGCATATTGAAACATATCTAAATATATATCATTATATGAGCTATGGTTGAAAAATAACTAACAATAAAATTAACATTTTGACCATAATGGCCTTTCAAGGACTCTAAATAATCTATTGTTTGAACCTCTGTTTATTATTCTCCCTAATTTAAAACAAAGGAAATGAACACTGGAAAAAAAGCCTTGAGCCAGATCGGCAGCTCCTGTAAATTGGAGTAGCTCCATTGAAGTCTATAGAGCTACACCATTTTATATGAGCTGAGGATCTGGTCCCCTGTGCTTCCAAAAAGTTGAACTACTGTAATCCAAAAGGTCCAAGGTGGCAAAGAAATTCATACCCAAGGCTAACAGTCAGTCCTTTAATCCAGTCTTTTGCTTCTTGGATAAGCAGATGCCTTCAAAAAGGGGAGTTGTAATTTTCCATAGTGTACAGTGCAGCAAATCATAGAGGAGTAACTAGAGAGACCTGAAAAACTAAGCAGAAGGATCGACGCATTTATCAAAACACGGCAATGTAAATTGTTTCTATTACATAAAGAACCTCCCAGGAAAGAGACATTGCTACAACTACAGAACTAGCCTCTGTGCTTATAACTGGACACTGCTACATCGCAATATTGTACTGACATGCTGTTAGAACACCCAAGCCCAATAACTGGATAGACTCTCAGGGCTTTGTACTAACACAGCTTTAGACTTTGCTGTCCCTAAGCACACTGAAACTCATGCTCCCAGCCTAGCAAGTTTTTGAGTTCCCATCCCGAAATACTGTAAAGGGCCCTGATTTTTCCTGGATAGTTGCTCAGCATTGTCTGAAAACCAGGCCCCTTTAAGGTATCTTAGGAACCTAAAATTGAGGTTCCCCCCCCCAAAAAACACTAATTATGTTTGAAAATTTAGGCCAAACTCACTTCCCTCAGATCAATGGAGGGCAGATCTTCCTCCATGCCATTCTTGGAGCTGAAGTTATCAATGTCTTGGCGACTTGAAATCTGTATCCCTGTTGTATTAAAGGGACTGGCTAACACAGCGGATTGGGAATGGACTCTGGAGCCTTGCATTAGTCTGTTAGTGAGTCAAATCCAGCCCGGTTGGTAGTCATCACCATCTGAACGTTCTTTGGTAACCTGTGTGGAACGAGCTGGTGCTCTCAGTCCAAATGCTAGGGCGCTAGTGGGCACAAAATACATCATCACAACTGCCATCCTGGCTGGCAGTTTCAATCGAGAAGCAAAAAGAATGAATGGGGCGATTGAACTACCCTCAGGTCCCAGAGTTGGAGATTTCAGGCCAGGATTGAAATGAATTGGCAAGACAACCTAGGGACGCTTACATGGCCACACCAGTTTTACAGCTACATAGAGGGCATCAGCCTCCAGGACTGTCAATCTGACACCTTTCTAAAGTTCTAAATTCCTGCTAAAAACTGTAGTGAGTTTGTATCCAAATTACGATTTGATGGAAACCAAGGCATGGCATGGCAATGAGAAATGGTGTTTTAAGACATGCAGGAGCCAGGGGAACATTCTGGGGTGAAAATAAGAGACAGCAGTGAAAATCAGCAAAAGCTCAGAGTTGTTGTTTGACTATTTTCCACTTGAGCCTTTTGCTCTGATGGCAAAATGCAAAGTATAGGACTCATGTGAGTTGGAGACTATTAATAATTGTGCAGTTTAAAAGATCATTTCCTAATCATTCATCTTGCCCATCTGTTAAGGGAAAAGTGATGGACAAGAATTCTTCAGGGTCAGAATATGTTGCCAAGTTCAGGGAACAGTCAGGATCCCAGCAATTTTTTTTTTTTTTAAATAGAATAGAAACAAAGAATTGGGAAGTGACTTTCTAATATTAGATCATGTTTTCTGCCTCCAGTTCTCTCCTCGGACCACCCGCTATCTTAGAAATAGCCTGAGAAATGGTCACTTACACCATTTCTAACCTCATGAACCAGCGGCAGTGTTTCAGTGTCTGTGTTGCTAATTTATTGGGGAGTTGCTTCCCAGTTACTCATGTGCTTTGGCAGTATGGCAGCCTCCCATGCATGAACATGTCAGCATGAGTAGGTGCTGTTTTAAGCAGATTCCAATTGGATACAGCAAGCTGTAAGTGCCCAAAAGCAGTAGTCTCTCACTCCCCCGCCCTCCCCCCAAAGCCACAATATTGTTTTGCATTTATCAGCAGCACTAGTTCCACGTAGTAGCTGAGGCACTGTGCAGGGTCCCAATCTAATGTGACAACAGTTAGCAATAAGGGGCTTCAGTCTCCATTAACTTAGATGCCCTTTACAGTGCTTTAACAGAGTAACTCCTGATTTACCCCTGAGCAAGATAAGAATCAGGTCCAAAGATTACAGCTTGTGGCCAATGCTTGAAGCTGGCCAAGCTCTGATCGATGCAGGACCCCCGAGAGGTGAAGGAAGGGAGAAAACCAGCTTAAAGCCACCTTTGCATTCCCCCAATCCCTGAGGTAGCTAGGGGCTGATCTGGCCTGCTGCACAGCTTGGAGCACCTGATCTAAGTTCTTGCAGCTGTTACAGCCTCCTAAGACCTGATGTCTGGCAGAATGCCAGCTGGAGGTTCCCACAGGCAAGGACTAGAGTATTACAAGCTTGCAAGAGAAATGTCTTTGGACAGGCCGTTCCTTACAGGGATCAGGAAGGAATATTTTTACCCAATGCACAATTGGCCAAATGTATTCTGTCTTTGGTTTTTTGCCTTCCTCTGAAGCATCAGGGATTGACCACAGCTGAAGACAGGCCACTGGACAGGGGTTCTGAGGTGCTCAAGGCTCTTTCTTAGAGGCCTGGCTGGTAAATCTTGTTCATGGGCTGAGGGTCCAACTGATCACCAGATCTGGGGTTGGAAAGGAATTTTCCCCCCCAAGTCAGATTTTCAGGGACCTTGGATTGTTTTCGCCTTTCTCTGTGGCATGGAGTGTGGATCACCTGCTAGGATCATTTGGGTCTATCCTACCTAATCATTTCTCTTCCCCTGCAGGGGGCTTGGGTTGCAGGTGACATCTCAGTCTGGCACAAAACATTTTAGTCTGAGGACTAAAATGCTTTAGTCTAATCCCAGTTACTGGGTTCAACACAGGGGTAACTGGATGAAATTTAATGGCCTGTTATATACAGGAGGCCAGAGTAAGTGGCCTAATGCTCCCTTTACTTCTATGAAACTAGATCCTCCCACCTAATTATGAACTAAATCTGCCACAGTTTCATAGAGGGTGTTACCACTGACAGCAGTGGGAGCTCTGAAGGGAATCAGCAGCAAGATCAAAAACCCTTTGAAAGCCCAGCCTGCCATTGTTCAGTTATTGCAGAGGGGGATGAAACGAGACTTTTGTGACTATGTGAATAAGTGATATTCTTTGACCCATGAAGAATTATGCCCATTAGAAGTTAGGCATCTAAATAACTTGGAGGATCTGAGCCTATACATATGTACAATACCTACCAGAATTGGGCCTTAATCTAAGATGAGGCATTTAGGTACTAATGTAATAAATATAAATCATCATCCATCTGAAAATTATGCAATTAGATATATTTTAGGGCCATGTGTTAGTGGCATGTCCTCTGAGTAGCTAAATATTGCACATACTGGCAGCATATTCTCCCCTGTTCAGAGACAACACCATGAAGTGATAGTTCAGCTGGCATGGTGTCAAGGATGCAAGAGTCCATCAGAGAGACCGTTCAGTGCCCCACATCACTGCTGTGGATGCATCTGTTTTATGCCTAACCTTGGAATGCTGTTTGATTTCAATAGCTTGTTTTCTGGAAGTGTACGGATCCTTAGCACCACATTGTACATGTTGGCTTACATTTATTAAAGTGATTTGGGATGCGTTGTTTGTTGTTGCTTGCCCAGTTGATAAACTTTACAGGGCCAGATTTTTAGAAGACAGCTGCTCAGTAATGTGTAAAAGGCAGGCCTCTTAATGGTGTCTCTAGCTGGGCCCTCTAAAACTACACTACCTAAAATCACTAGTCACTTCAGAGAATATATTCTTTAACCTTAGTATTGTAGTAGAGTCCAGATGCTTCACTCATGATTGGCTCCCATTGTCAGAGACACTATACAATCACACGCAAAGTGAGAGTCCCTGCTTCAAAACCCTTGATAGAAGACACTTCCCACTGATGCCAGAGAAAACTGCAAGTGTATATTGGCACTTCAAAAAGAAACCCTTGATCACTTTATATATGGAGGTGGAGTTTCTTACATTTGGAGTTGAAATATAAAGGAGACAGTTCTATATACAGGCTTTATAAGCACAAAGTCTCCCCCACACAGTAAGTACTTGCTCATGGAATAAAGTGGCTGTTTATCTGACTATTTCCCCTCCTCTTTAACTTCAGATCTGCGTGACTTCTGAAAAGGAACATGATGGCTTTATCAAAGTGTACTGTGGGAAGAAGAAAGGCTTTGTCCCCCTAGACGTCTTAGAAATCATCTGATTTCAGCACTGCACTTGCTGCAGTAGGAAAGCTTTGCTGGCAATGCCTGTCTGCCTCATCTCACACTGTGTCAACCCCGCTGGGCCGTCTTGCAGATGATCAGGGACTAGTGAGACGACCACAGCAACAAAAAAAAGACACTTAGACTGTTACAGCAACAAGAAATAAAAAGATGAGGGTTGATTAAAAGAATATACATCAGGAAACCTCTAGGGGAAAAGGGGCCAAGGAAAGTAAAAGGAATAAGGTAAGGAATGGCTGGACTAGCTCATTTTCAGTGCAAGATGGCTATTAATTATCCTGATGGAGACAGACAGACACAGACAGACAGCTGTTCTGAAGGACTAACCTCATACCTGCTCATCTGTCTTAAAAAAAGCTGTTGGAGTATGTTTTTGTTTGAAGTGTGATTTCATGGGGGCGAGGTTCAAACTGTCCTTGTAGTACAGTCTGATCTTGTAGTAAAGTGTGACTGTGATTCTAGAGTTTTGTCCACAGTATTAGCCAATCAGCATAGCGTTTAATCCCGATGTCAAGTCTCCTAACAAAGCAGTTTGGAGGCACTGTGTAAACGTCAGTCTGAGAAGTTAATGCACCATTGTCTGGACGCCAACGGCTTTCTCTTTCTCTGTGCTCAGACTGTACAAAAGAGCAGCCAACTTCTACGTCCTTTGCTTTCTCTGTATACAAACAAAACTCTTGGCACACGTGGGATGTAACTGCTGCTCTGGTCGCTGACAAACTTAGAGTCCCTCCTGTTCAGAAGGCCAAGCTAGAAGTATTCCTCTGTGATTCCTTGCTCCTTTATCTGGTGGCAGAGGAAGTGTCAGAAATACAGAGCTGAGTGAGAGCCCGATGCTCGAAAAGTTTTCTATTTTTCCATGAGTATTAAGTTTGAAGAGATTTTATATATTGATCCTATTTATAAGTAGTAGATAATCAACCAAGCTCCTTCTAGAGTGAAAACGCTACTAAAGAATTGCAGTAATTGTTGGTGAAGCTAGGAATCCTCCCATTCCAGGATCAATGAGAGAGAGAAATAAACTAGAGTATCATTTAATTGTATTAACACGAAGTCTCTTGCTTCATTCACTAGACGGGAGCTTTTAGGAATCAGACTAAGCTAAATTCTGCCTTCACACACACATGCAAACCCTATTGATGCCAGTGAGGTTGCAAGAGGTGTCTTTCAGGGCAATGTTTGGCCTATTGTCTGCATCATGTAGGCCCCAGTCTTGTAATCTGTTCTGTGCATATGAACCCCTGCAATGGTCTCTGTGCAGGCATAAGAGTCTGCCGGTGCAGATCAGATGGCAGCATCAGGGCCTTGGTCTATTGGTCTCATAATATTTCCCACTTGAGTTCTTGCCTTTGTTGTCCAGCCTGTGACAGAACCCTACTCTATATTATTACCAGGGGGGCTGGAACAATTTTTATAGTGGGGGTGTTGAGAGCCATTGAACCAAACTGTAAATCCTGTATATAATGAAATCCACTTCAAGCTAGCGGGTGCGGCATACCCCTGGTTCCAGCACCTATGATTACTACTAGAGATAGACCCAACTCAAAATCCTAAATCCGTATATTCCCACACAAAGGAGAAGTTTCAGATCTGCATCTGAACTTCACATGTGGCCACACTCTTTAAAATGGGCTGAACCACACAATCCTGCAGTCAAGCACTGCAGAATTATGAATCTGTATCCATAAGCCCTGGTCCTGCAGCTAGATTGGCCTATATGAACTGTCCATGCAGAGGCTTCCTGAGGACAATGGGGTTCCATTCAGCCTCAGAGTGCAAGATCAGAGCCAGACATTGTAGCTCTCGTCTGGCTCTCATTAGTGTGGTAGTGTCAGCTGCTCAACCTTTTTTCTTCATAGCTAATGTAATCTAAATAAATCACATGTCATTTCATTTCAGACATTGTTCAGTGGGGAGATCAAAGATATATAAATGGCCTTTTTCAGTGTAAACAATGAACTACTTTAACTCAGCTTATTGTCCAAGATAATCAGAAAACTCCTGTGGGGGATGGGGGGACTGAAGATGCTGATATGGCTTAGAGACCAAGAGGAAAAGCAGCAGAAATGCTATTAATCCATCCTGCTTTATAACATTATTTTATTTGATATTCACCACTTTTTAAAAAACCTCAAATGCCTGTTACAACTAAAATTATTGCTTTACTTTGGTCCAGCCTGTTATGCATAAGACTAGGGAAATCTGTTTTAATCTATACATATATGCTCTTGTTTACATGATTGCATCATACTGTGATTCCCTCCTATGTCACTCTCCTATTATTTCAGTTTCTCCCTAAAACATGCATCGTACTAGTCAAAGAATAATATGAACATTAACTACAATTCACAATGGCCTTTAATCAATGTCAGTTTGATTTCTTTTGATACCAAGCAATAAATAATAAAGTGACTGAAAAGCCCCTAAGTGGATTACATCATGGTGGAGCAAGCATTACTTTCTAAATAAAAGCTTTCATGGTTATTTTTACTTTTTCCTTTTCTGTCACTGGTTGATGTGTATTTTGTCCCTGATTCAGCAAGTTGTTTATGCATGTGCCTAGCTTTAAGCAGAAAAGTAACCAATGGATCATATGGTTGAAGCCAGGCACTTGCTTAAACACTTTACTCATCAATTTTGGATGCTTTACTTTGATTTCAGATTGGCATTCCATAGTTTTTTCTGCCATGTGCAGTTCATCATAGATATTTGCATTAATAAACAGATAAAGTCCAGTTCATCACTGCGGCTGGCCTATCTGGCACTTGCTCAGATAAATTGTATTTTAGGAGATAAGGGTTGTTCATATCTAATTTTATATTTTGCTTAATAAAGAACATGCAGCGGCTGGCTGGAAGGAGAATGGAGAACACGTGTATCAATCTCTTCATTGCATTGGGTATTTTATCATTACAGAGATGTTATCGGAGCACTTACTGCAGGCATCAGCAACAGGACCTGTTGAATACTTTCATTGAAACCCTATAGGGCTTGCTCCTGTCCCAACTGGAGTTTCTCCTTTGAAACATTTCTAAAACAGTTCTTCTGTAAAATAGTAGTATATACAGGATGGTGCCGTGTAGAATAAAGGTTTTGTTTTATCCGTGCCGATTTGGGATAGTCAAAGTTAGCTCTTTCAGACCGCTGTTTTACAGTCCAAACCCATCAGTCTGACTACACCATGGTTTCTTGCAACACTTTCTGAAGCAGCTAGTCCTGGCCACCGTCAGAGACAGAATACCGGACTGGCTGGAACACAGGTCTGATACACTGTGGTTGTCCGTATGCTTATTCACATATGCAAGATAGTATGTCTTTCCATTTAGATATTTTCCTTAAGTTTGTCTCATGCTTAAACAAGTGTTTTTGCACATCAGTGAAAGTGGGGAAAATATTAAAAATGCACAAAAAGTCAGTTTTCATTCTAGCTGGAATAGATGGTGGTATGAAAGATATTACCGTGTATATTATTCTATATTTCACTAGCTTATTTATAATCATAAACCAACCAAACCAGTTCATTTTATACATTTTGTATGAAGTTACAAATCATCATCAAGATGTGTGCAATACGTTTTGTAAAGCACATAGTGCCTGGCTCCTAAATATTTTCCAGTGGGACTATATGTCAACAAATTCCTCACATTTAGTTTTTTCCATGGCAAAAATAAGATAATCTAAGTTAAGAGGCACACAAGTGTTTATTTTTAAAGCCATTCTTTATATAGAAATCAGTAGTATGCTTGGGGAACAAACACTTGGCAGACTTTGCTCACAAGAGGCCCAGAGCTGGAACAGCAGGGTTGCTGCAAGTCAGCATGTAACAATGTGTCTTACGCTATTAGTCCTTTGTACTCACAAGCATCAAATGGATGGCAAGCGCTTAGCCCCTTTATCATCCAGCCTTATTGACTGGTTTTCTTAATGTTTTTGGGAGAGGTGAGGAGGGATAGCTCAGTGGTTTGAGCATTGGCCTCCTAAACCCAGAGTTGTGAGTTTGATCCTTGATGAAGCCATTTAGGGAGCTAGGGTAAAAATCTGTCTGGGAATTGGTCCTACTTTGAGCAGGGAGTTGGGCTAGATGACCTCCTGAGGTCCCTTCCACTCCTAATATTCTATGATTCTAGAGACTCAGGTAAGTGGCACCCTGAGATGGCAAGATAAATAGATATAGGGTGCGCTCTGCATTAGACAAAGTGTCTACCATATAAATGCACATCTGCACTGCAAACATACAATATTGTAGGCATAGTCATAACAAAACACGCTCCATTTCCAAAATGCCTCTAGCTAATCACAATTAGGTTATTTTACCATATAAAAAGTACTGTACCCCAACCCTAGAACCACAGTCAGATCAATATGTAAAACTCACCTCTTGAACTGAGCTTTCTCACTAGAACAAGACACTCAAAATATCTCTCTTCACTTGGGGCTAGATGGATTCTTTTTAAAAAGTGTCCAATGCACAGATGCTATGGTAACGGCACAATATGAAAATCTACATAAATGAGACAGAAACAGCCCATTGGTACAGCTAAGTAAGTATCCTGCCAGGTCACTGATACCTGGTGATCAAAGGAAAGTGGCATATAAATAAACAAGGGTTATTTTAGCATTGAAACAAGCTGCAATGAGAGGCCATAACAAACAATTGGGATAGTCTGCCTAAATATATATCTCAGTTGCCAACATTAAATTAATCAAGGCCCCCAAAGTCTCCGACACAGCACTGATGATGAAGTGACAACACCCCTACCCCGCCCCCCCCCCCCCCCCCCCCCCTCGTCCGCCCACATATACACACACCCAGTTGTAGCATCAGCTCTTTGGCACCCACTCTTCCCCTACTATCCCCATCACAGTAGTAATTTCCCACCCACCTACCCCCTTTGCTATGTTGGCTTGCCGGAGACACCCTAGCACAGAGCTATATGCCATACAGGCAGTGCATATTGCTGAGTGGCGCTGCCAAATCCTGTCTGCCCTCCCCACCGGCAATGACTGCATGACAGTTCCGCTGCTGGGGTCGGCTGCATCCATTGGAGAAAGCGCTAGATTTGTCCCCACAGGAACAACAGTCAAATAAAACTGACAGTTAAAATGGCAACAGGCAGGCCCACAACTTTACAGTGTGGCCTTCTTAATGACACATTACACAGCCATATGCAGACCCGCCACTTCTTGTGTCTGTCTGCCATGGGCCATTTATCATGACTAATATTAAACATCTGGGCCTGCCCTGATTCACCATTAGCCCACCATCCATTCGTGTTTTGGTTGCATTGACACTCACACTTCTCCCTTGATGGCGCGTCCTTTTGCTTACGCAAGCCTGCATCGCAGCTGCCCTGTTAAATACTCAGTCTCGTCCCTAAACCGACTCAATCTTGAATCTCGATTTCCTTGAAACACAGGTCCTGCATGCTTTCCCTACCAGCCCCTGGCCAGAAAGCTGAGTAGGGGCAAAGGGCTGATCTGAAACGGGGCCAAGCAGCAGGAGAGGGTTGCATGTCTGAGCAAAAAAACTGTGATGATTCGTTACACTTTGGAAACAGCCCACATTTCCAAGGCCTGCCCAGTACGCGTTCCTCTTGCCCCCTTGCCAAGGGCTGTGCGCCTTGTGGATGGTAACTAAAGTCACTGCGAGGAATTCCTCTTTGTGGATTTTTTTTAGGCTAAAGATGTATCTCCTTTGGCGATTTCTGTGTCACTGCAGTGGTCCTGTTGAAGTACCCTGAGAATGTCCTTGGCCCCAGTAGTGCAGCACAATGTGAAATGACAAGAAATGCCCAGGCAGGAAGGGCGGGAGTTTTGTTTTTT